GTTAGACATCAAAGGACACACACTGGAGAGAAACCTTATGAATGTGATGTTTGTAAGAAGAGATTTTCACATGGTAGTAGTTTGGTTAGACATCAAAGAACACACACTGGAGAGAAACCTTTTGAATGTGATATTTGTAAGAAGAGATTTTCTTTCGGTAGTATTTTGGTTAGACATCAAAGAACACACACAGGAGAGAAACCTTATAAATGTGATGTTTGTACGAAGAGATTTACTCAATCAGAGCACTTAACAAAACATAAAAACAGGAAACACATGGAAGAGAAGAGAGAAACCAAACCATTGAAAGACTAAATAAGACTATCAATTTTTTGGCAATATATAGAAACACAATGCATGTGTTTTGTTATATGCAAATTTTCATGTAATTTATGATGTGAAGAGATTTTTTTGTTTTGAGCATCGTTAAAGTGATCTCGTTTTTCCATCTCTAAGTTTTCAAGGAAGCCCAGTCTCGAAAGAAAGCAGTTCATAAGTTTATGTTCATATTGTTCGGAGTTCATATGTTTTAATGTAAATAATTGTTTCATGCAAGTGGAAAGTTTCATGGTAATTTTGTGTTTCATAAATGAATATAATTTTGTTTGGTTATATGTTATCCTGGTTTGAAATGTTATCTCGTATTGAACTCAACTACACGAAAGACTTTACCCTTGTAAACTATGAACAAAACTCTTTTATCAATATTTATGTCCTTGTTTTGCGTTTATTTATCAAATCACAGACTCATAGGATTTAACATGAAAATTGTGGTCAGCAATCGTTACTCCAGACTATTTATGAGATCAGTGTTGGTTAAGAATCTCAGCAGCGGATTTCCTGATTATTTTTATTATCCTCTAGCGCAAAATATGATCACGTGGAAGACTGGAAGCCCGAAGCCGCCATTTTTGAAACATTTGAGGAGCAGTGAAAAGTTCGAGTGAATCGTGATTTTAGATTTTATTAGTCTGTTTTTCGATAAAATTTACTGTATCCTCGTTAGTGAGATGGATTCCAATGGTAATCTCCATAAGAAAAGAGTTCAAAAACAAAGAACACAGTCACCACACACTGGAAAGAAACCTTATGAATGTGATGTTTGTAAGAAGAAATTTTCACAGGCTGGTAATTTGGTTAGTCATCAAAGAACACACACTGGAGAGAAACCTTATGAATGTGATGTTTGTAAGAAGAGATTTTCACATGGTAGTCATTTGGTTAGACATCAAAGAACACACACTGGAGAGAAACCTTATGAATGTGACGTTTGTAAGCAGAGATTTTCACATGGTAGTCATTTGGTTAGACATCAAAGAACACACACTGGAGAGAAACCTTATGAATGTGATGTTTGTAAGCAGAGATTTTCACATGGTAGTCATTTGGTTAGACATCAAAGAACACACACTGGAGAGAAACCTTATGAATGTGATATTTGTAAGAAGAGATTTTCACAGGCTGTTAATTTGGTTGGACATCAAAGAGCACACACTGGAGAGAAACCTTATGAATGTGATATTTGTAAGAAGAGATTTTCACATGGTAGTAGTTTGGTTAGACATCAAAGAACACACACTGGAGAGAAACCTTATGAATGTGATATTTGTAAGAAGAGATTTTCACAGGTAGTAATTTGGTTAGACATCAAAGACACACACTGGAGAGAAACCTTATGAATGTGATATTTGTAAGAAGACATTTTCAAAGGCTGCTAATTTGGTTAGACATCAAAGAACACACACTGGAGAGAAACCTTATGAATGTTACATTTGTAAGAAGAGATTTTCACTGGGTAGTAATTTGGTTAGACATCAAAGAACACACACTGGAGAGAAACCTTATGAATGTGATATTTGTAAGAAGAGATTTTCACAGGTAGTAATTTGGTTGGACATCAAAGAGCACACACTGGAGAGAAACCTTATGAATGTGATGTTTGTAAGAAGAGATTTTCACAGAGTAGTGGTTTGGTTAGTCATCAAAGAACACACACTGGAGAGAAACCTGATGAAAGTGATGTTTGTACGAATTTAACACAACGTAAAAAGAAGAAACACTTAGAGAGATGTGTATAGTCAAACCTTAAGACTAAAAGCAGGCCTGTAGCTAGCTTCTTTATTTTGGTAGGGTTGTATATTCATACATTGAGTGCATTTATTTTACAAGTCATAGGAACAGTAGCGCACAAAAAAATCAATTCGGCATAAGGCAAATATACAGGAATATACGTCCCCCAATTAAGCTTCTTGCTACAGCCCTGACTAAAAGACTGTACATCTGAGGCCGGTTGTATCAAGCCCGTTTAGCTTAAACGGTGGATAAGTCAAAATTAAATAACACTCTTACATCTCTCTTGAATGAGTCAACTTGAATATTATGCACTGAATATGTAGTTGTAAACAGTATCTTTGTATTAAGGTTAAAAACATTTAGTTTGCTTCTTGAATAAAACGATAGACTTGCTTTCTATTTTGAACTTAACCACCGTTTAAGCTAAACGGGCTTGATACAACCGGCCTCTGGAAGTTTAATATTATGTTTGTAAGTGGTGTGCACATGTACATGGAAGTCGAATAAGTCTGATAAACTTGAAAGGCTGTAGACAGGACAAAGTTTCTTAGCATTTACGAGGAAATGTTCATTCTGCCTGGACCTGGTGGATTTTTTTTGTTTCAGCTATTGTTCTAACAATAGTGAAAAATATCTTGCAATACCACTGATCTTTGAGCTTTAACCTTGTTCATGTCTGTAGTCATGTTTTTCAGCAAAACCAGCCCAGAAAAACAGTTGCTAAGTTTATGATCATATTGTTTGGGTTATACTGCTATTATATTGATATTTTTCATGTAAATCATGTTTTAACTTTGATAACATTTTCATGTTTTATGAATAAATGGTTATCCGTGGGATACCGCTAAATTTGAAGTCATAGGGATGTCAGTTAAAAATCGTAAAATTGTCTGATATTACTCCAGACTATTTATGGGGTCAGTGTTGAGAACAATCTAATTGCATTTGAATGGCTCATATATATACTCTTATAAAATCCTATTCTAAGTGCAACCATGCGTAACATAGGATATAAAAGACAGAGTGTACGCCTACTCTGGGTCAGTTTGTTAAACGAGACTCCACGTGTACAACTTTGCTCTTTTATGGCTGAACCTCAACCTGTCGTCGTACCAGTCGTTTTACCGCCGCAGTTACCTAACCCGGCTCCAAATGAGAACCCTGCAGTAGCGAATGTCGAACGGCAAATTGCCGAGCCTCAGTCTGTACAGGTTAGTTGTTTTCATGGTTTATGTCGCTTCGGGGATCTCCTTGATTGCTAAATTTAAGCTGGCAATCACTCTAGTGGCCCTTGTGCTTCTCGTTCTGGCTCGCTTTCCGATTATTAAACCGTAGGTTTTACCTTGGCCAAACCTACATTTCTTTCACTTATTAAGTTTTTTCTTAGCGCCACGTTGCGTTATCTTATGCCGTGGTATATATCAAAATAGTTATTCGCGTCTTTCTTCTGGTTATGCTTTTTAATGACCCTGATAAGGGTCGTGTAGCGGCATTTAATTGTTTACGCGTTTGTTTTACTGCGGGTTTTAATAGTGTCTCGCATGTTTCACATGAGAAAATCGCAATTGGGAGGGGCCAATTAATAATTGTGTTATATAAACAAGTATTGGTCGTGGCTGAAGAATATTATCGTGCTACGTGAAGAAGTATTGGTTGTGGCCAAAGAATTATCGCACTATGTGAACTAGTGTTGGTTGTGGCCAAAGAATTATTGCACTATGCATGAGCACTAGTATTGGTTGTGGCCAATGAATAATCGCACTATGTGAACCAGCATTGGTTGTGGCCAATGAATAAGCACACTATGTGAACCAGCATTGGTTGTGGCCAATGAATAATCGCACCATGTGAACCAGCATTGGTTGTGGCCAATGAATAATCGCACTATGTGAACTAGTATTGGTTGTGGCCAATGAACAATCGCACTATGTGAACCAGCATTGGTTGTGGCCAATGAATAATCGCACTACGTGAACCAGCATTGGTTGTGGCCAATGAATAATCGCACTATGTGAACCAGCATTGGTTGTGGCCAATGAATAATCGCACTATGTGAACCAGCATTGGTTGTGGCCAATGAATAATCGCACTATGTGAACCAGCATTGGTTGTGGCCAATGAATAATCGCACTATGTGAACTAGTATTGGTTGTGGCCAAAGAATAATCGCACTATGCATAAGCACTAGTATTGGTTCTGGCCAAATAATTATTGCACTATGTAAACTAGTACTGGTTGTGGTTCCGGTTTGGATTATCGCAGAGCCAAAGCCAAGAGCCTTTGTTTTCTCACCAGAAGAATCGCGGGGCGCGGGCTCGGGGAACGAGATTGCTCTAAAATATGATTACGGAAACCAACCACTCGTGCGCAGGGTCTTCTTGTCAAAGACGCTGGGGAGGGGGGTAAAATTTAGTGTTGAATTCAAAATGGCGTCGCTATTGCCAGTGTTGATAGTGTCATTTTTTTGTGTATAAAATTAAAACGATATGCATTTAATTCATAGTCTTAATTTTGTTTTAGGCTTTGTAGTTTATAGTCTTTGTAGCTTCTTAACGGTCAGATTTAAGTTGAAAAAAGGCTGAGTTAATGAGCAACTGCTGGCGAGTTTTATAATGCCTTTTATGTACTCACAACAATATTTTCTCATCCAAACTTCATCTAAGCGTGCACAGACGGCATCCTTAACTATTTTCTCTCAACTATCATCATGCAGTTGTTCTCGGGTTCTGCAAAAATAGCGTAATGCTGGCTAGAAAATTTTCATTTTCCACGATGCATTCCCAAGCAATAGTCAATACATTTACGTACATTAGAGCTTTTAGTATTGTGAACAGGGTTATCGAGAACCCATTGAAAATAAAGACTATTTAAAGTGTGTCATTAATGTAGTCGAAACAAATGTTGAATTTAAGCAAAAAATCACCTACCTCAAAATAATTCACTCCAGGCTTTATAAATCTTTCTCCAGTGTCAATTAAACGGCCTGTCGTCGGAATACTGCTGAAATCGAAGCATAAAACAGCTTAAGACTTGGAACATTACAACTTTTTGCGGTTGTAACTTGTTATGGTTAACTGAAATGGACGCAAATAATTAAGGTGTTCTTTCAACAACAATGATGAGGTTTTAAAATATTTATGATCAATTATTTCCCGTTACGTCCCGAACTGAATACAAGTAAAAACTTTGTGAATGTTTTGACGAAAAAATAAACATTGTCAAGCCGTTTAAATACGTTTTCACAACTGTTGAAGCGTCGATGACGTATTTGCCTTCATACGTTTGGCAGGACCCGGTAGGTGAAGCGGTTTTTCAGTACGATTTTTCAGTAACAATTGGTCATCGGTTTTCAGGGAAGATTCTAGTGATTTCCCGCTCTTCAACTATCGAATGTACTTGCTGGTTTTTGCATTTATACAGTATGGACGCGGTTTTGGGCATGAATCGAAATTTAATGCCAATAATGGGATTTTTTTTCTGCGGTTTCTCCTATATACTAACTGCCGGAGATGATTAAAAAACGAACGATGTTTAAAATATTTATTAAGGAAGTTTATACTTTATAAATAGTTATTAAAATGCGTCCGGCAAATCATTGATGGTCAGTTCTCTGAACTCCAAAAGGATTTTGAAGGTTGCCTGGTGTGTTAATATATCATCATATACGATTAGAATTAACATAGTTCATGTCAAAATCGATATGTCAACATGTATTTTGCAAGTTATGTTATGGACAAAGCAGTACAGCATCGGTTTAATCGATTAGCTTTCTGTATACTTTCCAAGTCAACAGACTATAAAACATCCATCAGAAGTTAATTGTCAATTGTATCTGACAAAATTGGCCCTGTAAACCGCAAACCAATCATGTTATCATACTTTTGGGGGTAAAACTCGCTTTGACGTGGGTACTTTTAACTATAAATCGTAAAAGAATGTTACGATATATCATCGATTACTACACATCGATAGTATTGGTCCTTTTAATAATAACATCATATACCAGGTGTTTCTGATATTAGTATGGTTAGTATCTTTAAAATATCTCTGAACGAATATTCTTTGTGATCCAGTTTGACCAACTTGCAGACATGCAGAGATGGTATATTCTTTGTATATTTTTACTTTCGGTTTGACTTCCAATGCCTTAAAACTTGATCTACCCTGCTAGTTGGATCAGTGCTACTGCCAGTTGCTTTAACTGGGTAATTGTTTCCCCTGGTAATAAATTACGGTATATTCAAAACAAATTATTCTTAGCTCATCGGTGTCAGTTGTCAACTCTCGCCAACTATAATCATATAAGTAACACCGCATGCAAGCGACTGGATTGAAAACAAAACCTACATGATCAAAGAATTTAGAAACAAGACACATACAAATTCGTTTAGGTCTAAACCGCACTGTGCCAATGTCTATAATTATAAGTTATATATCATTGATACTATAAACATTGTAACCAGTCTTGAGAGTTCAATCATTGAGCTATTGATCTATTCAATACAAAATATTGGGACAAGGGTTTCTATATATAACCCACTGTATTCATTTGAAAGATACCTAAATCGTATTATCTAGAAGCATTTCTTAGGATACTAGCTTTAGACAAACGCTAGAACTCGTATAATCGCAGTTTTGTTTACAGGCAACTGATAATATAATGAACTGAAAGAAATTTGCAACACTTGAGTCGATATGAACTATAACTCACCGATAAATGCCCAAAGATTGTTGTATTCCTCCGAACTATTCGCCAAATAGCAACGAGAATTTCCATAGAATCAACTACAAATCTTTCGAAGTATGTATATATGTATGCGATCAAATTCATCGTTTTTTGGCGGTGATTTTTCACCCGAAACCGAGCTTCTCGTTGAGAATGTATATAAAACATAATCACGTCTAACGCTAGATATAATTTAAATGACAAGAAAGACAAATGAACAATTGTGTGTTTGCGGTCTCGGAAGACTGCCTTCGAACGAGTGGTATTTGAATAATGCAAATCAAAGTAAAATGTCGGACGATTATATCTTGCAATCGTAAAAAAGAGCTAATCGTATATAGATCCATGTGAAAAATATAGACGTAGGCGTATGTTTTTTTACTTTAGCGGTCACGACTGTTAGATTTTGGAGAGATTCTAGTAAATTAAAACCGCAAATTTTGAATCAGTCTAGCTGCATAAACTGTGACGTTCTTAAACGGATACCCAATTGTTTAAGTTCAACTGTGTGAAATTAATCCTTCTAGATAGATTTTTGCCGGTTCAAACTTGAATATGAACGGAAAATGTCAGAAATCATCACTGCGCTTGCGCAATGCTATGCTTACACCCGCTAATCTTCCTCCAGACCTCCACATAACCGCCTTAAATAGAAGTAGAAAAGAGCAACTATATATAAATTGTACAGTAATTAGTATGCTGAAGATGAAAATTACCGCGCGATTTTAAACACAATACACCGACTAGATTCAATTACTTGATCAATATATTGGAAGCAGACACATAATATACAATTTTTAAGACCCGGGTACGTCGCGGAAAATACAACGTCGTCCTTAGCGAAGAATAGAACCTTCTCTACCTCTAATACAGTACCCTATCATAAAAGGTAATATCCAGTCGCATTTGCGCAGCGGTTCTGCTCATAACAATGTGGAGCCTGCAAATTTGAAAATTGCCCAAATCTCGCGTGTTTAGGATTTTTCTGGACAATAGCTCGTAAACTATAGCGAGCAAATAATCAATATACAATACAAATAATTTTTACAATAAAACAAACTCAAGTGTACGTGATACAGCTGATATTTTGCGGCAAAACAACCTAAATTAGCCCAAAATTGACTGAATATAAAGTGTTTACGCTCTGGAAGAATTACGTCAGTGATCGCCGCCATCTTGGTTTCGCCCGACCAGTGCATTTTATTGAACTGTTATCGCGTTCCAGAATTCAACGAGTTCATCGGTTAATACCATCAAGGATTCACCGAAATATCGGGACAAAAATATATACACAAGCGACGCGGTTGCTATGCATTGTGCCAGCGGCAATACGCGTTTCAATTCGAATTCGGCAGAATCGGGAGGGTCTCAGTCAAGTTTTCGCCTCAAAATTCCAACCATTCGCCAACGTCTGTATGCGTTCAATCGCGCCTAAGTACTCATTTTTCGTGAAAAATCTCTTAAGAAGTTGATTTCTTTTGGGGGTGTTAGAATCCGCAATGCTCACTAACGTCAGTAGAATTCTCATGTAGCAATCGGGCTGTTTGGATTTCAGAGCGATCGACCGAATTTCTTTCTCCAGCAAAGCATATGGTTCTGAAACAAAAAAACGGATATTTTTACTTACATTTGTTTAGTTGACTTTATAGTCTTTTGCTTGACTGTATCCGCTCAAAAAAAAAATCGGTTCGTACGCTGTTAAAATTCAGCCATACTATTCCGGCCCAAATTACCAGCTTTAATGCATGCACGCTGCCTTTGTAAAGACTAAAGTGCACATGAGATTTACTCAAAAAGGCAATCAAAACAGCTCCTACAGGATCGGCAAAATAGCACAGCATGCAAGCATTAAAATTAGCAATGATAGACCATGCATTTATCGATCACTTTTGGCTTTTTTGACTGTTACTCTGAAAATCACTCCGAACAGATTGGAGAAAACATGATTTATATAATTGAAAAAATTTTAACAAAATAGATCCTAAACACTTGCAAATCTACGTTCAGTATTAAGAAGTTATTCAGAAATTTAATTATCGCCCGCAGGACACTCAAGATGTCTTATTCAATAGTTCTCCTACACACAGCATGAAAAATATAGCTTTGTCTATAAGATTAAGCATGCTGTTGAAGCTGCACTTCCTTGATAAAATATCTCCTCACTGCACAATATAATAGGTAGACATCTATATATTCCAATGAACTTTAAACAGTCTAAAACCCAAATCGTTTTGGAAGAAGATGCATGCTTCATTATGTGAAATATATAGAGGTGTAAATTTTAATCTTTCACGCCTTCACTTCAGTGCCCCCCGTGGAAATTGATGGCGATATATGTCAAATAATCTTACTGCTGTTAGAGCTATACTAGTATATAAGTTCTAAACAGGTCCGCAAAACCTTGCCTTAAGGCGATTTTCCATTACGTTCACGCTCCGCGCACGTGGGTAAACGGCCGCACTTTATTTCTCAGGTTCATCATGGGCAAATTTTCAAGACTCCCAAATGGGAGATTTCCAAAAGATATATATCCCACTCCCGTTAAATCTATTACTATATAAGTTTCAGAACTGGTCCGCAGAACCTTGCCTTATCTACTTACCTAGATCGACGGTTTTATACAGTCTATTGAATCCCCAACATTCACCGTCCCTCCTCAGTATCTCCAAATCATCCAAACTTTCCAGCGTCAAACTTGCGCAGTTTCTGCGTCTGCAACACCGCCATTTCATGGCCGCAAGCAAGTATTCGTCCAAAGTCATTTCTTGCTCCGTCTTGTCCAATCTTAACATGTGACAGAACACAGTCTGGTCCAGATACGAGTTTGTTATATCGCGATCTAAAATCTGGGAAAATAATATATGGATATACATCAAGTTGTTGCGATCTATACAGTTCGGCTCGACTGATCGATTTTCCGACAATGTTAAGCTTCGTTTACACGATGCAATTTTATCGGATCAAATTCACTTCCGTGAAGTTTTATGTAAAATGCAGTACTTGTACTTCTTAAAGCAATCTTTTCGAATTTCATCACCGTTCAGAACAGTTGCATAGCCTGCCTGACGATTTTGTCCCAATTTTGTCCTGTTTTGACGAATTTCCAGTCATATAATTTCATGCCTTTAGAAATTTATTGTTTTCACAGTCAATAAACACCAAAATTTAGCATAGCTTGTTGGCTACTTGTTCAAACGTATTGTCTGTCGATTGTCCCGCAAATCATACTTCGTGTACTAGAATAATTTAAAACATATAACTAAAGCGCATAATATATTATTTTGGTCAATAAATTCAGTAAAATTCAATAAATGGACAATACATTTTCGGCAGACCATATATATAGCCTTTTGTGGCAAACGTAACTTATACTAAAAAATTAAAAAATGGAAAATTTCATTGGATATAGAATAACATATATCGGGTATAAATATATTGCATTCTCTATTATTTCACGTCTTGGTCTCATATAACTTTATATGTGGCGAGATTAAAAAACAATTTTACAAATATTAATCGAAAGTAAAATAAGGCCGTTCAGAACGCCCACATGCACTTTAAGTACAAAAATAGTGCGAGTCAAAACGCCCACTCTATACTTTAGTCTCTAGCTATAATATAATCCCCGGTTTTCACAAATTTATTTAGATCTGGAGACGAAAACATCTGTTAAATAACAACAAATAATAATATGAATTTTGCCTTCGACCTCGTTATCATTGTGATGCTAATTGAAGCAAATAGTTCGTGATTGTTAGCATAAAATATTAAAATATTGGTTTACATCCATGGGCTTCGAAATTAAAAGCTTTCTGCTGTAGTCTAAATGTAAACGAAGCGTTATACATTGATTTATCGTTTCAAGTCATTTGAAAACTACAATATCAGATTGTCTGAGCCTAATTTTGTTAATAAATTATTTTATGATGTAGGCATATGATATAGATATGTTTGATATATAATGCACCTTTATATGTTGACCGTCTCTTGCGGTTCTCGGCCGCGGTTCAAGAGCTGCTTAAAAGAAGAAAGCTTATCAGAAATGGCGTTCTCAAAGCCTCGTTTGTTTCCCATGAAAAAAAACAGTGTCTTTGTTTCAAACTATATCGAGCACTATATAGCCGTCATTGTCTATAATAGACATGATAAGCTTTTTGAAAATTAGAAAGAAACTTCTGAAAGAAACTTAGAAACAAATATCAGTCGTATCACATTTAAATATACTTGGAACTAATTTGCTATACATCGATTCCTTCTCACAGCTATTTCAACAGAATTTTAGTCGTTCATTTTAGTATTCCGTTATATGTTTTGACTATTTCGAGATTATTCAAATAAGTTCGGCCGGTCGCGTTTCTAAGTAACGATGTATAAAAAACCCTTAAAACCCTTGGGAAAGCGCACGTAATACGCAATAAACAAAACGATTTTAAAGCACTTTAGCTTAGAGAATCTATAATCTCATGCTTACAAGAACACGTATAAAACACTTGAACGTGACTCCTGTAGCAATGATCAAAAGACGTGACTATACACACTTGTATATATCTATATCAGTATAATGTAATGCTTCATACAAGTGTTCAGTTTGGCTTTTGAATTATTATGTCATGAAAGAGGGAAACTAAGGGGATCACAATATATATGCATGTCTACAGGTGTTTTATGTATATCATGACTGATGCGGATATGGAAAAGCTAGCTATTCCACACTTTGGGTCTTATAGGATATGTATTAGGCTAAGGTTACTGGGGTTTGTTGAAATCTACGAAGAATCATTTTGTGTGCTTTGTTTTTCTGCCAATTGTTTCTGCCGTCGGCTGAATTAAAAACTCCCAAGTCCCACCTACTCTCGGGGCTAAATTTGATTTTTTTTTATTTGATTTTTTTTTGTTAGCAAAGACCCCCAGAGCTTAAAGTGATGTCGATATGTCCCTCACGCTGTTTGTAAAGTGGTCTTAGCATCAAGCTATTACGTTCTAGAGTAACAGTCATTTTTCCGACGAAGTCCAATAATTTCGCATTGTGGAGATAACCTTTGTAATCCATAAGCCAAAGACGTGGAATACAGTTGTATATATGAATTTCAACTGAAACTGCATTTATTCTCTCGGTTCTCTTTTGACGCAAAACGCCTGATTTCGCTTGGGGAAATGCTGCATCATTAAAACATATATGCATTTTCAGCCATGCAATAACATATACCTGCGCAAAATAATATCATGCGTTCAATATATATACATATATAGCTCAGCTGCGTATATACCGCCTGCGACAATTATACCTGTTATATACTTATATGCGTTCAATAAAAATGCATGGAAAATAAACCAGCCCCACAAATGACCCATTGACTGAACCAAATCGAATTGCTTTTACATCGCCATGAAATGTAGTTGCGTTGTTTGTAAAGGAGAAATGCATGGAAAGAAAAGATTATATGAAGGCTAGAGTAAAACGCGTCCCATATATCGCTTGTATATCCGACCACTATATATGAATATTCTATATTCACACTTTTTCATTGCTAAATTTAAGACCGCCAAGTTAACACTGTCCGAAGTTCGTCTGTTAACGATTGAAAATTTGCATTGGTATAAATGGAAGTCTTAAATGTTTTGCAACGAGTATCACGACGAATTAATTCAGTATTCACCACTGTTTTTGATTCTTGGAAATTTCCATGAGATACTTTGGAACTAAGAATTCGTCGTTTGAAAATTCTAAATTCCTAGTCATCATATATTACAATATACCTAGTCCAGACCAGACGTGTAATATCCAATATTATCCTGTCAAAATGCATGGATAATACACCTTCATATAGTTCTATATATAATCTAAACACCTGAACATTTGTCCTAAGAGCAAATCAATTTCCGTTTTTATAGAATTGAGTAAATTATGGCATTGTTGAAACTGTTTTTGTTTAAACATCGGGGTAAAGAAAATTGCGCTACCTTATTATGCATTGATCGCTTGTTCATGTTTTTATTTCATCAAATTTATTTATAATTTAAAACCAATCGTTAAGAAACATTTTGTACATCCAACATGATTGACTTCTCCGCGATAAACTGTTTACGATTCTTAGAGCGCCTTTCTTTATAAGGTAAAAACTGTTGTATTTCAGCTGCTGAGAAAGATTTAATCATGATATTTTATAGTGCTTCAAGAACTTTGCATTCAAGCTTATCGTTATATTTATATCTGCCTAACACGAGGAAATGAAGTTTGTCCGCTTTATTTTTAGCGAAATACTCAATTTCATTTCAAAATATGACCGACTGACCATCTTGCCCGCTTTTAAAGAAAAGCCCCCTTGCGTTCTTAAGAGTGTCAAGTACTCACGCAAATCAGTCGGTTGTAATATTGGAAAGCATTTCCAGAAATCTGGCCTCTTAGTGATTTGCTTGGACATATGTATACTGATGCGAAGAACAAATGGATCTTCCATCTCCAAATACAATCGACCAGTTATATATGCTTGAAACGCCCAATTGCATGCATGTATACACATAGTCAGACGATGATTGACAATATATATGCATTGCAAATTACTACAATTCGAAGTACAGACAACACAAAAATTACAAAAACCCGTATCTGAAAAGGAAGTTCATAATATATAGCCTTGCTGGTTGAAAACCAAACTTTTAAACAGTACGTTTATACTCGTGACAAAAATTCCCAATTTAAAATCCCTGTAATATCGAAGCGATAATATTCACTGCCGTTATCTGACGGATTTTTGGATACCAAATTAAGCATTATACTCAGTGACGAGTATTAAAAACACTTCTATTGTATAAACTAACATGATAAAGGCGTTATCGATATAGCTCATAAAAATACTCGTATAGCTATAGTTTTAGCTTAATTTGTCGAGTCAAGCATTCGCAAATGAAGGTCACAAGCGCTTTCAAGCTTTTCTGTGTAATAATTCATGTTTAAAGTACTCGAAAAAGCCATAGCCGTAACGGCGTGCTGTGGCGTGAATCTGGTCTGGGATATAGGTTGTATAGATAACGTAGCCTACTGCGGCTGGAATGCTTTTAAAAACCTTTATTATTTTGGCAAGTTTTGTGCAGAATTTGGCCTGCTCTTTAGTGTTATAGACGTTAATTAAATGTTAGCACGAAAAATCATGCAGACATCAAGTTTACCTTAACTTTAATCGCTGTTTTTCCGCATACATCGTGACGTTTACACGAGATTTTGCCGAGCGCTATCAGCTCTAGGAAGATACAGGCGTACGCCGCTGCTAAACGCGAGGAATTCGTCCAAAGGCCGTCGACATCTCCCGTGAACCAATCTCTCCAAAGTAGCACACAAGCTTGCGAAAGATTCACCCTGTGTTTACTGACAGTCAATTCCTCGACGTGGAAATGTTGTGAGCGAATAATCTCGACGATTTTAGACGAGAACTCGCTCGCTATCTGCCGTCTTTTACCGCGGTGCGTGAACCGTTTCAAGTTAAACATTTTGAAGTGCGGTCGGTGGCTACTCAGTCCACAATCAAACGATCGTAAAAATCGACATGTATTCCTAACCACATCTTGTTGGAAACCCAGCTTGATAACTCCAAGTCATATTTTGTACACAATATGGCCAAAGTGAACATCACATGGCGATTGGCTGAGGAGCGTTTAATAATTTAGTAGTTACGTTTCCATCACGGGCCATCTGCCAGGGTTGGCTCTATCCAAGTTCAAAGACGGTGTGTCGAAAGCAGCCGTCTTTACTTAGAAAACAATAGCCATTAAGGGCTTCTGATTGCAACATTCTCGACGTTGATCTGTATTTAATATACGGTGCCCACGAAGGAGAATTTGCATATTCCTTTGATCAAGAGTAAACAATTTTTTTGTCGTGTTTTGTGACCTTTTAATTTGAAGAAATATAAGCACGCGTACATATACAAAGGGACTATTTTGCTCCGGTTGAATTTTATAAATTACCACCGTATCGCAGGAATTGAGTTTCAATTTGAATCCAGCGACTATTTTAAAAGCAACAAGCACGTCGTTTCAATTATATTATTAATACAGCCCGCGAAAAAAACCCGTAAAACTATTTAAATTTCAAAATAAAACCGCCAAATTAAAACGCAAAAAAGTTGAATGTTTTATATCGATCGGACGTTCTGGAGTATCCTGAGTCGATGTATTAACATAGTAGTATACTGTATGATTTTAGGTGAAAAGCGTTTGAAGACATCCGCATGAAATTTTCACAAACTCATCGCAGACCCAGTTGGACTTTTATAAGAGATCCCTGTCTGAGTTGTAAAAATCCAAGCCTTTAAAGAATATCATTTATTTATATATGTATATATATTTTTCCCAGCATAAAAATAGGGCAATCCCACTTTAGCGTTCAGGACTCTCTTTGAAAATTAGCCATGTCATGCTGACGTGTGCGGGCATGTGTATTTTCAATAAACACAGCGTAACGAGTATTTAAATAAGACAGTGTTACTTTTGCATGCGTAAATCGGTCGTGTGGGTTTTATTTTCTAGGATGTTCAGAGTGCACTTCACTAATTTAACCAGGGCGCTTATATAGTACTATATGAGCGCCCTGCTTTACCAAAGGCAAAAGCGCGCGTTAGCTTTTTGTCCGTGTAAAAACCTATACTACTTTTTATATTAATTTCATTTCAAATATGAAATGAAACAAACTATATCCTAGCTTGCTCGTGTCCAGTAGAATTTTCTGAGAGTGAAAAATGTTTCTGAAAATGTTTCAGTAGTTCCAGGAATTCTTTTAACTGGCTAATCAAATCACGAAAATGCCAACATATCAGAATAGACATTATAGCAGAAGCTCACTCTTAGACTTTGTATTTTGCTAAAGCTTTTGTATCTTTGTGTGCGAATTTTTTCAGAAGCGCACACGTCATTCTTCGTCATCATGCCGTGATCCTGTGTGTCCTGATTGTAACCCATCAAAAGTTCCTGCACACACCAGGATGGCGTGAACAAGATACAAAGAGTGAGACTTCTGCTATAATGTCTATTGACTCTATTCTGCGGTTCTCGCTCCTGATTTCGTATTGAGCTCTCCGCACACGTCCCCAGTCCCTCGTGATTTCGCACGTTTCTGGTTTCGCGCGATGTTCCAACATGGCGGGTTAAAAATATTGTTTACACTGAAGAAAAGGAAAACAATTCAGCGCAAACATGGTTATGACCAAGTCAGAAGCGCTGCAAGTCCTTGAACTGGACCAAGGTACGAATATAGACGTTCCTGCGTGAGCTACACCGCTTCTCCCTTTCATTTCGCTGCGATCTCGGCAAAATATTTTCACTTTTAATGCCTATAGATAGATACACGCAGGCCCGATATCGCTACATGCGGCAAATTTGGGGAAATATTATTTTCCCTTCGCGATCGCCTCTGATATTTTGCCACATTGTTTTGTGAAGAAATAACTCAAGGATGTTGTCTGCGGAAATGTTTTGATTACTTACAAGAAAAGTTTTGGAATCGTGACAAAACCTTATAAATTAGGTCATACTTTAAGTTGAACAATTTTAGAAATACTTGTACTAAGTCATGCGATTAAATTGTGTCATTCATTAAGATGTATTAATATGGATTACTTGGTTTTTGATACACCAGTTAATGCCCCCATACGCTTAAAAACAGTCTTACGTTGGTTGGTATCAGTTTATAATCGTAATTCTATAATTTATTTATTTATTGGTTCCATAGTTTTACGATAATCTGTCTAATGGCATTAATCTTTAGTATTTTACTCTGTCTAATGCCAGATGATTTTACTCATCAATGAAATGGTCTGTTTAGATACTGGGGTTTAGATAAAAATATTTAAAATTTCATTCAGAAATGATATTGTTTGAGGAAAAAGGTGATAGTGATACTTTTGAAACTTTGTGTGGTCATTTTAGGAATTTTAGAGATGTAATTTTGAAGTTTTGAGGATTTTCTGGAATGATTTCAGGGAGTTTAGCACTAAGCTAACCTCAGTTTAGATTCCTGGCAAGTTTCCAAACCTTAGAATGGATTCATCCACTTTTCCTATTAGAATTACAGAAAATTTGATAATAAAACAAGCCAGCTTGTTGATTTGAAGCTGAGAACTCACTTGGTTAATTGAACTGACTTTTTTTTCAGTAACAACTTGCTATACAGGGTGTCTCAAAAAAAACGCAACCACTTAAATATGCAAGAATATTAATATTGTTCGGGTTTGCACCATAGTTAGCTAAAATGACTTTTAGCATTGTAAATGAAGGATTAAGAGCCATTTTCAATTCCCAGAGGTGCTTATCTTTTGCGCTTTAAAGCTGTATTAATGTTCTGCATATTTAAGTGGTTGCGTTTTTTTGAGACACCCTGTATGTCGTAAAAACCTGCTTGAGTTCAAAAGAAAAATACAAATTAGCAACAAACTCTCCATTGCTAAGATTTATCGCTTGATGTAATTCAATATAGAACAATTCTTGAACAACAAAACACAACTTGCAGTGTATTATCCTACAGTTAATATGTTTAGTTGTATGTTTCAACCCTCGAAAAAGGGTGGTTTGTTAAATTTCCTGTATTTTATGTGATGGCAACATTCATGTTCCTCCTAGGTTGCACTGCAGAGAATGTCAGATCGAGTTACAAAAGGCTTGCTTTGAAATGGCATCCTGATAAACACAATAACAGCGCAGAATCAACCAAGGTTTGCAATATTTTATTCCTTCAAATATGGGGCAATTTTCATTTGTAATTAATCCTGTTTGTTACGATACAGTGCATAATGCAGTAATGATTATGATGGTTATTATTAGAAATTTCAAGAAATCTCAGAAGCTTACAAAAGACTGACAAGCAAAGAGGATGATGATGACATCAGAATCTCAATGGTATGGATTGTAAATTTGGTCTCTGATATTGTGATTATTGAGGTCCATCTTGATTCACTATATGCTTGGTTTTATCTTGCCCAAACCCTGCTAAGTTCTCTTCTGGTCCTTTTCCTCTTTCACTGACCTTGAATTAATACACTGGATATGGCAACCGTACAGGTCTATGTGAAAATGAATCCAGAATTGCTGAAATTAAATGAATGTCTGTTCTGAGTCTCTGGACATTTGTTAAACATGACTTTGTTTTTGATACTCGAGTATATGAAAAAAGTTGCTATATCCAGTGTGTGCTATGAGATCAGTGACCTGTTTCCTATTTTTTTTTCTTAAAATATTTTTGTTTATCTAAATTTTAGGCTGATATGTTTGACTTGTTTGCCCATATTTTCTTCAGCAACAGTGGCTGTGAGTAATGTATATCTACAATGAAGATTTCATAACAATGAAAACATTTACACATGACACTGGATTTTTAAAAACATTAAAAAGTTTTAAAAATACAAATAAACAAACAGCCATTTGGCAAAGTAAAACGCAAATTGCAGGCTGTTTTTATTCAGCTTTACCCTCATTTAATCCCTCTAAATTTATATACAGAACAACGTTTATTGTTAAGCAATTCTTAGATATTCAAAAAGCCTCTGCACTGGCTTCAAATCTGTCTGAAACTAGTTGTTTTGCTAAGAATGGCGTCCATCTTTGAATGGAAAGATGTATCATTTATCAGATATTTTTCGTTGAAGATTTCGTCAATGATCATCTATTCTATTCCGATGATGACGACGATGATGATGACGATGATGATGATTATATGATGAGTGATACCGATTCTTCCGATGAAGATGTCCCTGTGTACAGAACACGTCAACACCACGGAAAATACTCAGATTTAATGGCGAGCAGAGTTAGTCGGGCCGCTGCAACCGCCTGTAAGTTTTGGCCGGTATAAAACTAACTCGTTTGAGCGATTTATTGCTTTTTCCAGTCCTGTTAAATGTTTTCTAGTATATTTACCGCATTAATGGCGGGAAAAGTGGGATTTTGATGTGAGGGAAAATGGACCAATCAGATACTAAAAGTCCGTCAGATTAACCAATCACGAGCGCGATAGCACTTTCCCGCTCTTTGTAGCGAGATTGAAATCTGAAACCTTGCTTATCTTTTGAGATATGTCTTCTCAAAGTTCTTCGTGATTGTAGATGGTAGTTTAGGAAAATAAACGTGCATTTGCATAATTTTTATCTTCCATCTGCTTTTGATCGAGATGAGTGTAAAATTCAGGATTAAAAAGTGTTTTTAATGGTAGTTTTACTCAAAATTTCTAAGAGTCAGCTAAGTGTTGAAAACCAAAATGTGTTTTGCAGATAAAAATGAGATGAAAAAAAAGAAAGCTCAGGTCCGCACCGGAATATCAGAAGCTGTAAGTGCTTGTTCAAATGTTTGATAAGATTTTCAAAACACCACAAGTCCAGTATGATATTTTTAACATATATTACTTTGCCAAACACATGCAACAAAGGTGGGTAACCTGTACAGCCTTGATTTGAGTTCATTGATTTTAGGAAGCGATGAAAAATGCTGAAGAACTAATAAAAGAAGAAGAAAAATTAAAGAAAAAAGCAGAAAAGAAAAAAGCTAGAAAAAGGGTAAGCTATCAGCTATCTTAAACTAGAAGTTCTCAAGCATAACCAGTCATTGGGGTCATTATTTTTATCTATTGACATAGCAAACTTATATAGGTTATTAACATTTTTACATGTACATATTTTTATATATATTTATATTGTAGATAGACGGCAAATGAAATGCCACTATGTGCATATATTGTCTAAATGCATCTCTTAGAACGACCAGGAGCGTGCATTGAACTGTTGGTTTATTGACATGAGTCGTTTTATTTTAGAGAAATCGTGCGAATAGGAAGCAAAGAGAAAAAGAACTGAAGGCTGACAGTCAAGAGGTACAGGAGCTTTTGTTCAGTTAAAAACCCGCCAGCCTGAGTTTTGAAAACTCATCTCCCGATTTTCCCTAGGCTGAAAGCGGCAATGCACCAGAGGAGAACGGAACGGGGAATACGAACAGGGAGACTGGAAACAGTTCGAAAGAAAATAAGTTCGCTACGAAGAATGAACACAGCTCAAATGCGAACAGCAATAAAAATAAAAAATCTACTTTAGAAAAACCGCGGGAAGACGAGGATTCCGACAACGAACGTGCACACGTATGTAGCTAAAATCATTTTCTTATAAACGAAGCTCGATTAAACATGAGTTTTTTTATAATAGTCCGATGTCAAGTAAATCCTAAATACAGGAATTTAATCCTTAAGATTTGCTTAGGTTTAAACCTAATCCTGATCTTAAGCAATCAATTTTTACTTAACACGGAATTATTCCCAGTTTATTCTGTGATGTTAGGTGAGAATTTCGTCTTGGTATATGCAATGAGTTGGTAATACAGGCTCACCTAAAGCTCCCTTACACAGGACCTGTCCCCGGGGGGTGGGCTCCAAGTGGACAAAATTCTCTGTATCAATCACTAGTCCGCGCTGCTGTAAATTGGGCTGTTTTTCTATCGCGCAGGACGAGACGTGGGATACCTCAAGCGCGTTCTTCAACCATGCAGCACGACGTGGTCCTGTAAATACAACCGATCATAATAATGCGAGCAATGAGACAACAACTTCAGACACATCTGTAAATAGACACGAATACAACAATATCCAGCACACTCGGGAAGAACGGCAACGACAAGAACAGTCTGAGAAAGATAGCCTCGTGGAACAGAGTCGACACTTAGCTGGTATATGTTTGTTATGTATGATCTTGGAAAATTATCCTAAGACCAAAACATATACAAAATTTCGTTTCTAAGAGTTATTCGCAGTCATTTAATATTTTCATTTTACGTCATGGCACCCTTTGCTTCTTCATAGCTATCGGAAATAACGAGGCGAACGCGGGAAATTACGTCGAAGCAATCGAATATTTTACGAGAGCAATTTCAATACATAATCGGGATTTCAGGTCAGTTGTGAACTGGAACGTTTTTGAGAATGTCGTTCCCCCTTGTGTGTGTTATTTTCCTTGCTTTGCAATGTAATGTTTTTGTCAATTTTGTGTTAATTGAATGTGCTCTGACATGTTGCCTGAGGAAAGTTTATTGTGTTAAGATTTTTCGGGAATCGTTCATATTGCTACGATCGTTTGGGAGACTATTCTAAAGCACTTCAGGATGCCGAAGTTACGATTTTGCTGGTACCTCACTGGGCTAAAGGTTATTTCAGAAAAGGTCGTGCCTTAGCCGGACTCAAGGTACAAATTTTTCATATGTTTTACAAATTTTTAAAGCTTAATTTCACCCCTGGAGACTAGGTACTAGAAACTTTAGGAGGAACCAAAGCCGTTTGTAGGCTGTAATAAAACTAGCTCGGTATGGCTGAAGGCGGCTTACAAGGGCCTTTAAAGTCGTATGCCATGTTCCGGTATATTCCACCATGGTCGAGTATACCATATTCCGTTATTTTCGACCATATTCCGGTATGTAGTTGTATGAAGTATGGTTCAAAACATCGCATCAGTCAGCCAAAATGCTGGATCCGCCCCTTTTCCTAAATCGACTCTCTGTTTATAAATCAATCCAAAGTGTTGTCTACCAGAGCTTAACAACTGATCGCCATTTTTCTTCATAGCAACACGCGGATGCTGAGAAAGCGTTTCTACAAGTACTGAAACTTGACAAACATTGCGAAGATGCGAAATTCGAGTTAACTAGAGTACGTGTGCAGCAACTAAAAGTGAGTGAAAACCTTTAATCTAAATACACTGGTTATATAGATTTTTGTTGTTATAATTATGTTTGAGGCACCACCACCAACTTTCCGGAACAATTTAAAAAGCAATGTACTAATCGTTCTGCTCAATGAATCCAATTTATGCTACAAAAACAAGGATCCCTTATATGATAAATTTTGTTTGAAATGCATTCTGAAATCACGTCATCTTTTCAGGATATGGGTTTTGGGCATGCTCAGAGTGAACGCGCTGTACGGCTTTATGGGACGGTCCACGCTGCTCTAGACGCTCTTTTGTCTGGCAAAGGTAATTTCATGTTTTATTAAGTCTGTCCTGTAAACTCATTAAGGCCTGCCCAATCGGCCAATCGACCTTTCTTGTCTTTCCTAAATGGTTTTGAAACCCGTTTCTCTTCATTCCTAGTAAAAAATCTATCCGCAAACGAAGATGAAGTCTACGTATCTGATGGTGAAGTCGAAGATCAAGAAAATGATTCAAGGTTCCTGGTTTTTCAGCTGCTTAATGTTCACGTAACCAGCGAGAATGCCACGACAAACCACTTCTTGGCCGTTAAGAAGCGAGGATTCAGTGGAAATGAATGATAATTATGATTTTTTTTAGGCAAAGATTCTCTGAGCCAATGGCTTCACTTTGGGTCGGAAATATTGATGCAAAACAAGTGACGGAACGACAGCTCACTCAACTATTTTCAAAGTAAGGAGTTAGCGTTCCAGTCTTATTAGAGTTCAGTGTACGAGACTATAGAAGTCCTATAGTATTTCCGGTCATGTTTTTTAGATTCGGTTCAATAACTCTAATACGGATTTTACCGCAAAGTTTTTGCGCTTTTGTAAATTACGAGAATAAAGACAGTGCTACGAGGGCTATGCAGTCGCTTCAGGTGGGTCTTGGTATTTATCTAATTCTTACCTATATCAGAGTTGCAAAAAAGCTGCGAGTACCACCCGGAGGAAGGTTTGCTTTTAATAGGGTTTGTGAGGAAGGTTCAAAGTTGAACACTCTAATTGATCACATGCATGTACCAAAAAACCAAATATATCTTTATGCTGGTTGCCACCTAGCTCAGTGACGTAACATCATTTTGAGGAAGGTTTTCAAAACTTTGAAATCCTACCCGAGAAAGGTTGAACTCTTTTTGCAACTCTGACCTATATCTAATTCTCGGGACTCTGTATCCCATAGAGTCCACGCGTGATCATGCTCTAACCCTTACTAAGCCGGTCTAATATTAACCAACTCGGTCTATATCATTTTCACTTCAGGGTTTTGCGTTAGGTGGGCAAAATATAAGAATACGTTACCAAGGAAACGACAAATCTAAAAAGTAAGTACCCTCTTGAATGGCACGCTTACACTTGATATTTTTCAGCCGCAAAATAGTTGTGAGCGAGTCGATGAGCATTCACACATGTTCACTAAAGGCACTTATATAGATCAGGGCATTCGACTGTTCGCACATTCACGTATTTCAAAAGAAGAAATCGCACCGAAAATTGTGGGAAAATTTTCCTAACGATTCTTTAGGCAGTTTGTGCTAAACTAACCCACAGATTTGTGTTAACAAAAGAACTGTCCCCTAAAACAATCTGATAATGTGATTATTGTGAATCTCGCTTTTAAATACCATCCTTCTGATGAAACTTCAGAATGACCCGGCTTCGCTATATTCATTCATTTAGCGCGGAAAATTTGAGCAAACCAACTGGGCCTGTAAATGGCAACGAATGCTACTTCTGGCGAACAACTGGCTGTGCTTACGGCGACAACTGTCGCTACATACATGTACCTAGCAATAAAGGAATTGACATTGATAAGGTCGAACAAAAATACGGGAAAATAAAGACGACGAAGAAGGGCAGATGACCCGGAAATGTGGTTTTATTTGCCGTGAATTTGAGGAGAAAATATCTGGAAATGCGTCGCGGAAGACTCAAGCACGCTTTGTGTTTCAGTTTATATATAAATGTATATGGTTTATATTATATGACATTAATTTATAAAATGAAATTTTCCCGCCAGGGAAAGACATGGTATTTTGTTTTGTAAAATTCAAAGAAATGTTTACGTTGAGAAGTAATGATATTAAAACAAAGAATGGTTCTATTTTCTATACAACTCTTTGTATTTTCTTGTACTAGGGGCTTGACCAGGGGCAGGGTAGGGGTGAGGAACGGAATACGTCCACCTCCTGGCCGAAATATCATGAAATTTCCTCCATTCATCGTTGAAAACACATCTTTTGATTAATTTATAGCAATTTTTCCCACGCTAAACGTTCGATTCGAAGTTTTCCCACAGAAATGTTCTTTTCCCAACCAAAACGTTCTTTTCTCACGAAAAGGTTCTAATTGATTTTTCCCACGCTTGCTACATTTTGGAACAATTTTGTTACAAGTTTAGAATGTTCGAAGCTTACATGAAGTCTAGTAAAACACTGGGGGATTCTGGCAATATGGCCGTCGAAAGGAGTCGTTATGTTGATATCGATTGGAAATCTCATCGTGACACTTTAGATGATGTATTTTTTACCGACGATGATGTCATAAAGAGGTTAGAATGGCTTGCAATTTTTTGTATGTGAGACTGAGTCTTGGTCAAATTTCTTTAGCATTTTTTGGTTGTATTGGTTATTGGTGCCCAAGTTGCCCAACGAGGCTTTCTGCTTTCAGCAATCTAGGTTTGAGATCGATGGGTTTCAAATTGTCTGCAGGTAATTGGGGTTGCGTTGATGATATGAGGCTATGTGATTTCAGTAATTTTTAGTACGTCCGTATCGAACTATTTCTGATTGACTTTAGTATAAATCTGTATAATATACTATTTTTTGCTTTAGTAATATGGGTTAGATAAGTTCCAGCAGTCTTGAGCTGTGATCGGTATTGATCTGGCTTTGGGATTGTTGTAAATTAGGATTGCTTTTAATAAGTTGGTGTTGTAAGTTTCCAGTGAACATTTGGTTTGGATTATCTGGTTAAAGTACATAAAATGCTATCGAGCCTTTGGCAAATACTAATCACTCTCCTATGATGATTATTTTATCAGATGGATAATTGTAGAGAATGTGAGATACCGGTAATTGCTTTTCTATTAAAGGGGCCTTGTGTCGTTCCCAGCACAACTATAGAATACTGTTGGTCAACTTTTTTCTAGGGGCTGTTTCGTTGAATCCGGGGAAACCAGGCTCTTGTAAACAGCCCCTTACTCTATTTTCCTTTAAGCATACTGTATTATTCATACACACATACATGTAGATTTTAATAAAGTTTTATTGTGCAGTTTTTTTATTTGCTGGGACGCATTGTTTTAATGCATGGCGGGGTATTATATAATTATTCCCCCTATATAGTATAGTATTTACTGGGTAAAGTTTATAACACATAGACTTAAACTATTTACTAAATCGCTGTGAACATACATTATTACAATATTATAATGCTTCTCATCGATTTGCACTCAAACATAATCAACTGTTATTTGAACCACATTTACCAATGCAAGGGTAAATAGAGAAGCTATCTTTAGCCGAACGTATTGCTTTCAAACTTAATTCCATGTTTTGGCAGTAATAGATGTCGTCATGCACGTTGCTTATATAGGCGAATGGTATCTTTTTGCCGTCACATATCATGTACACTAAAGACCCTGAATCACCTTTCTTTGCAAAGACTTTTTTTTATCCTTCTCGTCATCCTTCTCGTCATCCTTCTCGTCATCCTTCTCGTCATCTTTTTTCTGTATACGTATTCTGTAAAAGCCTTTGTTCATTTTACCCTGTAACTCTTTGCCATCTACTGCAAAAAGAACTCCTTTTCGTCCACTCGATGCCGAACCAAATTTTCGTACAGGCACTTGTCCACCCATATCTTTAAACCTTTTGACCACTTCATTTTTGCTAGCCAATTTTGTTTCAATGCCTTTTAGGCTAAGGTACTCATTGGCATCCTCGCAATTTAGATCACCTTGTAGTTTGATAACAGCAATATCGTGTCTCTCGTTGTATAAGCCAAAAGAAAACTTGCCACGTTCAATTCTTCCTCCGACTCTAAACTTGTGAATTACATCTTTGCAATTCGTATAGCCATCAGAACAGTCTTTCTTTAGCTTTTTATGTGCTTCGAATATGTCATCCGGCAATACCTCTTTGTAAGCAACATGATAGGCGGTGATTACGCAGTGTCTTTCCGGAGGATTAAACAGGGCAGCAAGAATACCAACGGTGCCACACGGCTTCTTTTCATCAGCCTCAGTGTATATTCCATCTCCCGATCTTGGTCCTATAAGAAATCCGGATTGAAGAAGTGATTTTTTGTTACCTTCAGGATTTTTGTCCAAGTTTTCTTTGTTTTGACTGGCTGGTTCAACTGAGCTCCCCTTGATAAAATCCACGAACGAGGCAATTTTAACACCAAATATTTTCTTTAATTCGACCATAGAAGGTGCTTCGTTTTGAGTGTAGGTAATGTAAATTTGCCACGTATTTTCTTCTTCGCTGTCGAAACCAATGTAAAAATCTTCAATCCATGATAAGCTGACAAATTGTAAAAAGAACAAATAAAATCTAAATTTATGGCAAACATTGATAAGAAATATTTAGATGATCGTGTTTTGTCACATTTGACGGTCAAGAGAGGTAGGCTAGCTGTATATGATATGATTTGAGGCACTGGAAATTTCTAAATCCACATATCTGTTACTAACTTTTTTGCCATAACTTGGGTTTAATACTTCATAGTTACCTACCTTGACAATTTTCTCTCGTATTCCTCTTTCATTTCAAAGTTTTCATCAAGTATATATGTTTCAAACCACTCCGTTTTCGAGACTATAAAATACATAATTTGTAAGGTATATATATGTTATTTACCGGCTGTGAGGTCCGAATAGAAAAATATTTCCCCGAGGTATCAAAAATTACTTGAGGCCGCAGGCTGAGGGACGTTTTTTAAACCGAGGAAAAATATTTTTCAATCCGGACCGAATTAAATGGTAAAATAATAACGTATTTATTTTTTTTCAAAAAGGGACCATATTTTTTTACAAAAAAGACCTTAATATATACATATATAGTATTTTAAGGTAACTTACCTTCTTGATAATCAATTACAGCAAGAATTTCCTTGCCAAACAAATTCACGATGTCCTTGGGATGAGGTACTTCGCCAAATTTGTATACCACTTCCAAACGAGGTATATCACTTTTCCCGTGTGTATTGACGATATTACAACTTTCCACCCACTCCAGCCTTTTTAGAAAATATTCAGTTAAATCGTAAGACAAACAAAATAAATGAGCCAAAATAAATGGACTTTTTTATCTTACTAGGTGTCGCGGGAAAGGACTTGGACTAGTTGACAAATAAAAATCCATTTCTTGGTTGAAACAACTTGATATCTCTTGCATGAAATATAGCTACTTTATTTCGGTTTTAAATTAGTGACATATCTGTAGGTCTTAAAACTAAACATAATCACAAAATTTCGACTAGTTTCATAAAAAATAATAAATATGTAATTGACTTAATATACTGAGAAATGGATTTCTATTTCGACAACCCTTAATTAAAACCCGCAAAATCCCCTAGCGCGTGATAACCCCGGCGTTTTTTTGGCCGTCCCGTGACGTCAGCATCAGTAATTTTCACTTGTATAAGAAAGCACATTTACCTTTCTAGTTCCTCTTTGTACTCTAAATAAATATAAATATAAATTATATGTGGCTCTTTTAAAAACAATTTGTAAGACAATAATATTTGTTCTTATAACTCGTTTTTAGAAACCTTTTGCAATGAATCTATTCGGAATAACCTTTATTTTAAAGTCGTTTTTACCTTTGTCATAGTCGACAGAAGCTATTACGCTTGAAATTTTCGCATCCTCAGTTTTGGTAACGTTATAATATACCCCTTCACGGCAAGGTTTTACATTAATCTTTATGACAAACTCGATCGTGTCAAATTCCGACAAGCGAGTTTCATCTTTGACTTCTATAAATTCAACATTCCAAAATTTCCTATGATCAAAATATTCTGGCCACACCATACTTTTGATTTTATTTTCGATCACTTGACGAACTTCGCGACATTCGATTTTCCGTATTTTTTCTCCACAAACGATTCCATTTGAAAGAACGCCATAAATTAATATTCCACCGTCACGATTTAGCAAAAAAGATACATGTTTAAGTAGCTGGTTCTTTTCTAAACCTATGCGATATGCCACGCTATTGTCAGGAAGGGTTTTATCATACTTTAGTATTTCAAATACGTGGTTTTGAGTGGCCTCTTCAGTTTTCGATATGTATTTTCTGCCTTTAGAAAGCTTGACTTCCGTGGATATGGGAGGAACTGATGAGACTCGTCGTGAACATTTTAAATAGCTGCGATAAGGACGAACAGCGTCAGTCCGGGAGATTTTCAGGACACCCAAACCATTAGCATTGCGTGGTTTCGTCAGTACTGTCGTGCTCATATTTTGGTCTATGAACGTAAAAAAATCAAAGAAAACTTAATTGAAAAAGGATTACGATCCTAACCACACAAAACAACCCCTTAAAATGTGAAAATTTTCACGATAGAAAAGATAGCAGTAGCAATCCGGCTTTCATGGACTTTACTAAATCCCATTAAACATTATTGCTCCCATGGAACCACTAAATGGAGGAAAGCGCAGAGCCGCCAAAAAACCTTTAATTTATCCTGTGGCTGTTTGTATACGTAGCCTATTTTATTAGTACATTGGAGGGCTTAAGCTTCTATGCATGACGACAACGCGACGACCACGACTAAAATACACTCCTTTAAATATAGTAGAAAAGAAACTCGTTGTCGTGCAGCAGTCTATCGTATAAATTTAGCGCCGAACAATAAGTAGATCGTACATCGAAAATACATCGTTTCATGGATAAGATGAGTTTTGCTAAACAGAATAGGTGAAGGTTGGTTGCACTGCCCTCACCCTTTTACTAGAAAGCACGAATGAATACGAAGCAATATGGAACGCTAGTTACATATCAAATCTGCTGTTTCCAATTACTAATTGTAGGAATGAAAATATGTTTGGGCCTAGCTTAAAACCCTTTTATTCGTACTGGGATTTTCATAAACTGCCTTCGCACCAAAGTTTGGAAGATGAGTGATTAAACATTACGCATGCTGTTTAACTTTATAGCTCCATAGTTTCCTAGGATACAGAAGTAAACATGCAGGGACCTGTACCGACCGCGCGATATTTTCATTTTGATAAGGCTATAAAAAACTTTTGAAACATAAAATTGTATGCAAACAAAGAAGACGAAAATGATATTGTTCGTATCATCGATGCTTTTTGTTTCTTTCAGCTGTGAGAAGAGCAATTAGCTATTTTGTCGAAGTTCAGAGACAAAGGGAAAAAATGTAGTTGCATGAGATATCCTAAATAAGAATATTCTCTCAGTCTTAAAATAATTCTCTATACGCGGACTTGGCCCTATAGAGAACCCTTGAATTCTGAATGCCCACACACACTGGACGCAATCGCTAATGCGACGCAAATTTTTCATTTTCATAAATAAA